CAGTGAAAACCTTATGAATAGCAGTGAAACACTGTCTGATATATTACTGGAAAACTTTATGAATAGCCCTGAAACATCATCTGATACAGTGCCAGAAGATAAGCCCATCAGATCTGAAGGCACTCAAAATATGACTGGGGAAGAGCTGACTCCTCAGAGTAGAGACAACCTTAATGATACGGATGGAGTAAAGCTTTTGCACCCACCATTGGCTGATGTGGCATGACTCAAAATGGGAAGAAACACCTGCAAATATCTATTAATAATTGGAACATGGAATGTATGAAGTATGAATCTAGGAAAATTGGAAGTTGTCAAAAATGAAATGCAACACATAAAGATCAGTATCCTAGGCATTAGTGAGCTGAAGTGGCTTGGTTTTGGCCATTTTGAATCAGATAACCATGTGATCTACTATTCTAGGAATGACAAATTGAAGAGGAATGGTGTAGCATTCATTGTCACAAAGACTGTATCAAGATCTGTCCTGATGTACAGTGCTGTCAGTGATAGGATAATATCCTTATGCCTACGAGGAAGACCAGTTAATACTATTATTATTCAAATCTATGCACCAGCCACCAAAGCCAAAGATGAAGAACTTGAAGATTTCTACCAACTTGGCAGTCAGAAATTGACCCAGCATGCAATCAAGATGAATTGATTATCACTAGTGACTGGAATCAAAAGTTGGAAACAGAGAAGAGTCACCGGTAGTTGGAAAATATGGCCTTGGTGATACAAATAATGCTGGAGATCAGGTTATAGAATTTTGCAAGACCAATGACTTATTCATTGCAAATATCTTTTTTCAACAACATAAACGATGACAGGAGCTCTGGTGACATAGTGCCTAAAGCACTTGACTGCTAACCAGAAGGCTGGCAGTTCAAACTCACCAGCTACTCCTTGGAAGGAAGGTTGGCCAGTCTACTTCCATAGTGATACCGCCTTGGAAACCCAAGGAGGAGTCGCTGTGAGTCAGGTCCAACTCGATGGCACAAACAACAACAGCATACACTTGGACTTCACCAGATGGAGTACACAGGAATCAGATTGACTACATCTGTGGCAAGAGGTGATGGAGAAGTTCAGTATCTTCAGCCAAAATAAGGCCAGGAGCTGATTGTGGAAGAGACCATCAATTGCTCATATGCAAGTGCTAGTTGAAGTTGAAAACAATTAAAACAAGGCCATGGGACCCAAAATATGACCTTGATTGTATCCCTCCTGAATTTAGAGACCATGTAAAGAATAGATTTGATGCAGTGAACACCAGTGACCAAAAACCAGAGGAATTGTGGGATGACATCAAGAACATCATCCATGAAGAAAGCAAAAGGTCATTATGCAGACAAGAAAGGAAGAAAAGACCAAAATGGATGTCAGAAGAGACTCTGAAACTTGCCCTTGAGCAGAGAGTAGCTAAAGCAAATGCAAGAAATGACAAGATAAAATAGCTGAACAGAAGTTTCAAAGAGCAACTTGAGAAGACAAAGCCAATTATTATAATGAAATGTTCAAAGACCTGGAGTTAGAATACCAAAAGGGAAGAACATGCTGGGAATTTCTCAAGCTGAAAGAACTAGGAAAAAATTAAGCTTCAAATTGCAGTACTGAAAGATTCTATGGGCAAAATATTGAATGATGCAGGAAGCATCAAAAGAAGATAGAAGGATCCAACAACATACCAAAAAAATTAATACACCTGGACCAAGTGGGATTCATACCAGGTTTACAAGGGTGGTTCAACATCAGAAAATCAATCAATGTAATCCACCACATAAACAAAACAAAGGAAAAGAACCATATGATTGTATCAATTGATGAAGAAAAGGCATTTGACAAAATCCAACATCCATTCTTGTTTAGAACTCTCAGCAAAATAGGGATAGAAGGGAAATTCTCCAACATAATAAAGGGTATATATGCAAAGTCAATAGCCAACATCATTATCAATGGAGAAAGACTCAAGGCATTCCCCTTTCAAATGGAAATTAGAGAGGGATGCCCTCTATCACCATTTCTATTTAACATTGTTTTGGAAGTGCTGGCCAGGGCAATAGGGCAAGAAAGAGAAATAAAAGGCATATAAATTGGCAGAGAGGAACTAAAACTATCTCTATTTGCAGACAATGTGATCCTGTACATAGAAATCCCAAAGGACTCAATAAAAAAAAAAAAAAAAACTACTGGAACTAATAGAGAGGTTCAGCAAAGAGGCAGGATGCAAGGTCAACATATAAAAATCAGTTGGATTTTTCTACACCAGCAAGTAGTCCTCTGATAAGAAATAAGAGAAACAATACCACTTACTATGGTTAAGAAAAAGATAAAATATCTAGGAATAAACCTCACCAGAGACACAAAAGACCTATACAGAGAAAACTATAAAACACTGCTACAAGAGAAAACAAGGGCACTACATAAATGGAAGAACTTACCTTGTTCATGGATAGGTAGACTAAACATTGTAAAAATGTCAATACTACCTAACACAATCTATATATTTAATGCAATCCTGATGAAGATTTCAACAAAATATTTTAAAGGCATGGAAAAACTAATTACTAATTTCATATGGAAAAGAAAGAGACCTCAAGTAAGCAGAGCACTTTTCAAGAAGAAAAACAAAGTGGGAGGTCTCACACTCCCAGATATTAAGAACTACGATACAGCCACAGTAGTCAAAACAGCATGGTATTGGTACAATGATAGACAGATCAATGGGACAGAATTTAAAGTCCAGATATAGACCCACCCATCTATGGACAACTGATCTTTGACAAAATTCCAAAACCCATTAAATGAGGGAGACAGCCTCTTTAACAAATGGTGCTGGCAAAACTGGATATCCACCTGTAGAAAAATGAAA